TAGTTTTGTGAGTTTTATTACACTGTGGAACTAAGCCATTTCAGGGCCTTAACGAAATAATTGGTATATCTCTTTAACCGGCAGATGTACAGGATTTAGGCAGAAATTGTCAGATTTAGTCCGGAAGATATTGTAATTGTGTGTACAGGAACGATTTCTGACTAAATACTGTAAATCTTTGCTTCACCTCATCATAATTTTATTTTTTTTTTTTATAGTGGCTCAAAGCGCTCACTTTTTCGGCGTAAATTTCATATGTAATATGTAAATATGTAATTATATAAATAAATAAACCTCAAATTTAGTGAGAACTTTTGAAATAAGAATTTCAGTCCTATAACACCTGCCATTTTGGTCTTTTTGACCCCTTTAAAAAAACTTTAGAGAAGATATTTTTAATATTTTTCATTATAAGCAAAAATTTGATTTTTATTTAAGAATCAAATGAAGTATTACAATATGTGCAGAATATGTAAGAGGTTCAAAAATGTTACTCTCAAACATTTTATTTATGAGTGTTGCCACTTCTTTAAAAAATAAACTTTTTTAATCAAAAAGTTAATTGAAATATTACACACTGTAGATGTCAAATGAAAGGAATTTAGGAGAGCATTCCCTTGAACGAAGTTTTAAAGGGCATTCCCACCTGTTTAAAAGTCAATATAATCAAAAATATAAGTAAATAAAATATTTAGATATTACAATATTTATTGTTGTCAAATGAAGTAGGCTTAAAAAATAGTTTTTCGAAAATAATTTTATAGAGAGTTGCCAGTTGGTTAAAATTCCTACTCACTTTTAAGAAATATTAAAATATGGATCTCAAACTGTGCTTAAGAAAAATTTATTTCGAAAACATTTTAAAAGAGGGTGGTCACCTGTTCCAAAACCAAATTTAGTTTAATCATTTAATCGAAATTAATTTAAATAGGGTTGCCTCTAGCTTAAGAGTTCAATTAATTTTAATTAATAAGACAAATGAATTATCTAATCTAATATGGATTTCAAATGAAAGATGTGAAAGAAAGCTTTGTTTTGAAAGCATTTCAAGAGAGGGTTGCCACCTGGTCAAAAAAACAAATTCAGTTAAGAAGTAAGTTGAAGGAAATATTTGAATATATATAAATATGTTTATCAATCCAAAGAGCTTTAAAAAAGCTTTATTTGGAGAATAGTTTAAAAAATTAGAATAGATGTAGGTAAGTACTTGCAATCGGACTTTCAATTTTGGACCAACAATTTTGAGCTTAAAACCACAGTAAAAGAAAATTGTGTAGAGGAGGAGCGAAATCCTTTTTTGGCTTTAACTACCACGCAAGGTTGCTAATGTTTGGCCATTATTTCGTTGAGGCGCCAAAATATACTAACTAAATTGTTCCACAGTGCTGTCTTTTGGCATCCGAAGTGTTTATTTTTTATTACTCGTATAATATACATACTTTTCTATATCTAATTTTTATTTTGTCATAATCCATAATTTCTGTGTCATATTTTTTTTTTTCTATTGAACTAAACTTTAACCCACTCTTCAACCTGCTACTTAGTATTTTAAACCTTAAGCCTGAAGTGTCAAGTCTGCACAAAGAGTTCTTCAGTTCGTTTGCATGTACACTTGAAGCGCTATGAAAAACACTAATTAAGTAAATTTTCTTTATAAATATAACAAGCAAATTTGTCACTTGTGAATTTCTCGCATTTTATTTCAAGTATTTAATTTTCGTTTTCATTTTCTTAAAATTCTGTTTATTTTAATTTTTGTTAATTTATTAGCGCTTAAATGGCACCTGCGCTTGCTGCTACATAAAGTTTTACGCATTCATCTCTGCATTTTGTAAATTGAATTATTTAGACTGCAATTAAGCTTATTAAAGTTTCAGTTTGATTTTGTCCGCCTTTGGTACTCGTCGTAAATACCTACTTTCAATTGCTTAGCACTTCATTTACACAGCTACTTTTACATAAGTACTTGCATACATACCTATTTATGCGCTTTGTCTGTTTGTTTTTGTCAGCGCGTATGTACCTACGCATTGGAATACTAAAACTTTCAATTAATATTTCAATACCAGCTGCAGCAGCATTTCGCTGGTAGCACTTCCACTTGCACAGCACAGCAGAGACAGACAGCGACAGCGACATCGCCATCGACAACAGCTGCAAAATTCACGCTCCTTTCTCAATAAAATTGCAGTTGTTGTCACTGAAGCTGAGTCTTTACACAACTGCTGCAGGAAGTCTGCCTCAGCAATGCTAAAATAATCGTATTGACTGTGCAATTTTACTAAATACTATTTTCAATTATAATTAGAATTATTTTGCGATTATTATCAGCAGCGTTCACATAATCATCGCCATTAACCAGGACGATCATTAGCAGCGATTGGCCATTAATAAGAACGTTTCGTAAATTTAACTAACCAGCTAGTAGTGTGCGTGTTTTTGTTGTTGCTGCTGTTTTTCGTATAATTCGTATAATTACTGCTTTTGGCAGCATCACTGGTGCGTTCAGCACTAATTCTTGCTGTCGCCTTCGCCTTCGCCGTCGTTGTCGTTGTCGTTGTCATTGCCGACAACGCCGTCGCTGCCGCATCGTCCACTCGTCGCCCATCAATACGCACACCACCAAAACGTACATCACCTATAATAGCTCTAGCTCGCCCCTTATTGCCAACAACGCCCACCAGCGCTCGCACCACAACTCTGCNCGTATAATTCGTGTAATTACTGCTTTTGGCACCATCACTGGTGCGTTCAGCACTAATTCTTGCTGTCGCCTTCGCCGTCGTTGTCGTTGTCGTTGTCATTGCCGACAACGCCGTCGCTGCCGCATCGTCCACTCTTCGCCCATCAACACGCACACCACCAACACGTACATCACCTATAATAGCTCTAGTTCGCCCCTTATTGCCAACAACGCCCACCAGCGCTCGCACCACAACTCTGCCCACAGCAGCAGCAGCAGCGGCAACACTGTTGACGGCCGTTGACGCCACCACTGTGGCACGTTTATCTCTGCCTCACTGTATTAACGGTGAGTGTTGTGAATTTTCACTAAAATCAACTGTATAATACATGTCATTCTCCAAATTCATCGCTAAATGCCGTTGAAACGGTCGCTCGTGCATTTGGCCGCCCAGCTGTTGCTGCTGCAGCTGCTGTTGTCGCTGATGTGACTGATGACCTCCACCGCCGCCTAAGCCGCTACCGCCACCGCAGCCTAAGCCGCCACCGCCACCGCCACCTCCACCGTTGTGCGCTGAGGGCAGGTGTCCGCGCGTCAGCGATGTCGTGGAGCCGGATGAGCGCAATGAACCGACACCATTGCCAGCACCGCTGCCGCCGCCACCGCCACCGCCCAGTCCCTTGCCGCTTAGCCAGTGTTTGTTGAGTTTGCTTTGGGATTTGTTGCGTCGCCCGAAGCCCAGAATGGGAAAGAATGTGGAAGAACGTGTTGAGAATTTACGGTATGTCTGATTAACCTTGCAGTGACAGATGGCGACCTGTATGGGGGAGACATATAGAGAGAGAAAGAGAGAGAGGGCAGGTGAGAAATATATGAAAGAAAATGGCCCCTTGGTAGTAAATTAGAAAACGAAGATAAATGAGCATGTCGAGGCGGACTGGGGGGATGAAAATTAATTAAATGCCAGGTAAATAACTCAGTTGAAATTTGCTTTAAAATTTGAAAATTTTTTAGTAAATAAAAGTAAGTAAAATTAATGCGCATGCCATTGTAAAACTACACAAACCTTAGGGTGGCACTTAAAAATATCAACATCATGCTGCGCACAGTGGTCGGAGAGGCCATGTTTTACGGAAAAAATTAGAACGACTGCTAAGACCTTAATACAACTTTACTACATAGTATTATAGTCATGCTAAATGCGAATATGACAAAAAATTTATATCTTGATAGTTGACAGCTGTCAAATCAACTGTCAATTTCTCAAAAAATTTTGAAAACGTATTTTTTGCCAAATTAGAATCTTGGCAGCTGTCAACTGCACTATACATTTCTCTTTAAATAAGAAATTTCTTTTAAAAATACCACTAATTAGGTTTGCAGACACGCTACCCTTAAAATAAGAAAGTTTTTCTAAAATTCCACTTATCAGGTTTCTGGGATATATTGAATTTTCCGCTTTTAGTTTTCAAAAGCGTATTTGAAATTTGTAATAAGCGAATTTAATAAATTGTTAAGAAAGTTCGCAACACATAACGGTTCGTTGAACTAAACGGAAAAAAATGGTTAGAGGTAGCAAACCATGGTTTGAATATATTGATTTTTTAACTCGCAAAAATTTAAAATAATTTTAACTTTTACCAGATATTATTCAGAGAGTTTATGAATTTATATGAATTGGTTTAAACAAAATGTCAAATTTATAAGATTTAAAATAAATAATTTATCAAACCCCAAATTTTTTTTTAAATTTAGAAAATTTTGTGGTTGTCTATACGTAAAACAAAATAAAGGGGTGCCCCACACAAAATTTTGATATTGATATTTTTAGGAACCACCCTAATGTACATACTCGTGCGAATGTGCATAAATATGTATGTATGTAAATACAAGTGATTCCAAATCATAAATAAAAATAAGACAAAGTTAACACTACCTTTCTTCTTCCTCTTTATGTTTCAATTTGTAAGCGGCCACCGACTTGGGCCAACATGCCAGTCGTTTCTATTTTCCGATTACAGTAAGAATATTGGAAATGTGAAGAGAAATATTTTCAGGGCTGTCATTCCTTTTTAATAAAAAGAACGGATTTACAAGATTGCAGACTTTTCGAAAGCTTACATTCTGCCTTTGCCCTTAAGTGGTGCTTGCCCTCAAAACATAGAACCTGAAATGTTTGCATAGGTTCTCAAAAAATTAGCAGCTTTCATACTCGAATATGTACTTTAATGCGGCGTCTTTAAATCTCCCTGTATTTCTGCTAGAACAATCACGAATTGATCTCGCCAATAGGCTGGCCACATTGACACAGTGCGCGGACGTAAGAGTATGAAGGATCGAAAAAACACAGCTGCATGTCCAGAAGCCCTTATTTATCTCCATCGTGCAGCGAGTAATCTTTATTAGTTATTGGATTTTGCTAATTTAAAGGAGACAAGACGTAATACGCATATTTGTTTCCCCGCTAGATGGCGCTGTGATGGCGAAACATTTTAAATTAACGAATATTAAAACATTGTAAGAAGTCAACCCCAATCTCTCGCATTTTTCTGGAATAATCGATTTTTACCCTACCGATTTGCATAAATTTTTGATTTTTTCCATTCATATTTTTTCAACTCCCTGGCAACGTAGTATCTGTTTTATCTCTTGAACTTTAGATGAGAAGAAATCACTAATCATCTAAGTCAGACTTATTCTTGACCACGTCTGTAGTCGGTTTAGTCTCAGTCTTTTTCCCAGGCCAGGCAAAATTTCCTAAAACCACTTACAAAACGAAAAACCCAACCTAAATCTTCTAGGAAAGCAATAAAATGTGGAAAGAAGAAATCTAGAGGGCAATATTCATGCGTGGTCATGCAGGCAAATTATAAATAGAAAGTATGTTGATGATGGTGCTGGTAATGATTTGCCGGAATGTGCTAAGTATCACATAATTTTAGTTTAAATGAGCCAAAAAGACGCCAACGCACACACACAACTGCCAGTCGTAAAGAGATTTCAAGCATAAATACTTAATATCCTTAGAGTGAGAAAATAACGATGCTGATGACAGTATACATAGAATAGACTAAGTACGATTATACTGCAGTATGTATGTATGTACTTACCACAACGGCAACAATGAATACGGCTGCAGCCAATACTCCCGCACCAAAGTAAGCATTATGCAATTCAATGGGGCTCTTTAACACAACCGATGAACCGAAAGTTTTATCATTAAAATTTCTGGCGCTCGTATCGTCGACCATAAACTCGCTGGAACTAACGACGGTCTCCACCACAAACTCATCTGGAGCAGCAACAGCAACAGCAACAGCAACAGCAACAGCAGCAGCCGCAAAGTATGCGAAAAGTAGTTGTAGGAAGTTTAAGTTGAAGCCATAGTTTTGTAAGAGAAAAAGGAGGAAGAAAATAATAATAAAAGAAAGAGTATAAGAAATTAGTGAGAAATGAAAAAAGTTAGTGAAATTACAGTGTTTTGTGTATAGTTATGTTGCTAGGCAATGAATTACTTATATTAGAATAAATGGCTTCATATGAGAAGGTATTTAAAACGCACAATTACTATATAGTATGTAAGTATGTGCGATTGCAAACCTCAGGTTTCTTAAAAAAAAAAAAATAAAAAAATCGTTTCCTTCACTCAAAAAACTCCAACCTATTTTTTACTTAAATTTTTTCTTAAATTGCATTGATATGCGTCTTGAAAAAATCGGTCGAAACTGATTTCAAATTTTTTTTTTGATTCGAAAATTATTAAAATATGCTGTGTAGCGTAAAACCCTGAAACTTTCACTACCTACCTTTCAAAAAATACTGGATTAACAGGGCAATTGTGGCAACTGTATTTCAACTCACAAAAGTCTTTCCAAACACAAAATGTATCTATGTTTTTCTTTTTAAAACATAAAAACTGGAAATTAAAAGAAAATGAAGCTAAGAAATTAAATTTTAACAAGAAAAAAATTTATAAAGTCAATATCTAAAAATTATATGAAAAAATATGATTTCTTTTAAAAACAATAAAATCTAAAGAAAAACCATTTAAAAAATATTTTAAATAAATAAGCTACTAAAAAGTAAATTAAACTAAAATAATAAAAAATAATAATTTAAAACAATAAAAGCGAAAAAATCAATAGATAATTAAATAAAAAATAAAAATGAAAAAATTTTATCAAAATGAGACAAAATTTATTATCTAAAAATTAGACGAAATTAAAAAAATTGGTTTCTATTTAAAACGCTAAAATATAAAAATTACAAAAGGGCTAATTAAAAAAAAGAGAAATACATACAATTAAATAAAAGAAAACAAAAAATTATAAAAATTAATTGAAAATAATAATAAATATTTTGCTTTTTAAACTAATGGCACATAAAATTAAAAGAAAATTTAGTTAAAAAATAAAAAAGTTTTATTAACAAAGAACATAAAACTATATGCAATTTTCGGAAGCTTAAAATACATATTTTTTTTTATATAAAAATTAAGTTAAAAAGAAAAATAGGAGTGTTAATTTCATAAAAATTACGTGAAATTGGAAAAAAATATTTTTCTTTTTAAAAGAATAAAATCTAAACCAAAAAATAAAAATAAAAGTAAAAATAAGTTTTTAAAAATTAAATTAAATTATTTTTGCTTTTTAAAGTAACAAAATCTCAAAATTCAAGGGTAACTATATTCAAACAAAGAAAAAAATGTCATATACGAGAAAAATATAAACGTTTGATTACTTTACGTGGAATCGCCCATATGCGGCATTCTTCGTCAACTTAAGCTCTCCTCTTGCCAGAATTGGTACAAAATATAAATATTAATTTTATATGTTGGGTGGCATTTTTAGAAATCCAAAATGGTGGATCCAATATGGCAGACAAAGTTTTGAAACATTATTGGACTCACTTGAAGCTCGTTACTCTGGGGTTCTTGGGTCGCTGAGGACGAATAGTTACGACTATGAATTTTTTTAAATTTCCGCCATTTTAGATCCGTCAGAGTCGTAACCAGTTTCGAGCGAATTCAATAAATTTTTAAAACGTTTTCCCCCTTCTGGTTTTCAGAAATGCCATTTGTAATTCCGACGTAAATATTTTTTCCGAATTTCAAGTTTATAACCGATTTGATCTACCTGAACCAATTTTGGAGAGAGAGGATGAACGTAACTATCAGAAATGTATTGGATCGGCCATTTTGAATTAAATATTTTTTTTTTTAATTTTGGGATTATATTCGTTTGATTAGACACTAGCAAGTGAATCCAAAGTGAATCAAAACTTTGTCCTCCATTTAAAAGTAAATCTTTTTACCGAATTTTCAAATTTATAGCTGATTTTTTTTTTACCTGTATTAATTTTGCAGAGAAGAGGCTTCATATATACCTACTGAACTTGTTATTACAAATATTTTAAGCGCTGTAGTGGTCTTGGCCGAATACTAAAATTTGCCTAATGACTAGTAGTAAATCTCTTTATGCCGTCTTTTTTTTTGGTTTAGTAGCAGTAATACATGCTCGCGCTTTCTGTCGCTCTATTAATAAGTTGCTGCTTAACTATAGTATATAAATTTTACTCTTTCTCTTACTTTTTAAAAATTTAGCAGTTTCATATAATTAATTTGACTACTTGCATACCACTTGGCATAATGACAAGAATTATGTATGACACGTGAGTCGCATGCCAAGCGCCTACTTACATACTACATACATACATACATATGTAAGTAGCTGCTATGTAACCCACATATCAACACAGCAGCCGCACTTCCACTACTGTCAGCGTACGCCGCGTGCAGTTGAATTGCGGCTTCTCGACTACAGCCACTGATGTCATCTCTAAATTATGCTTAGTTACACCCTGGAGCGCATCAAGTAGCGCCAACACCAACTTACCTTCACACATATTTCCAGTATAGCCGGGTCGGCATGCACAGTAGAAGGAAGCGCCACTGGTCCAGCATGTGCCGCCATGCTTGCAGAGATTCTCGTTGCATTGCTGAGAAAAAGTGAAAAGTAAAATTTAATTATGCCAGTAAATTTTCTAATGTGTAAAATATGCATATACTATATACATAAGTAAAAGCGCGTTAGTGTGTATGTGTGTGTGTGTGTGTGTGTGTGCGGATAGCATATTAAAGTTCCTCATGAAGTCAGCCAGTGTGGGTGGACGTTGCCATAATGACGATTTAATGTGTGGTTAGCATGGCGCAAATGATTATAAATTTTGTTAATTATTTCAGTGGATGGAGGCTGCGGAAAAATATGAACTTAGTTTTTTGATAAATGTTTTGTGATAACTCAGGCGATAAGTGATGTTTAGTATTTATTTAATGTTGATGGAATTGCTAATAAGCGGGTTTCATAAATTTTAGCTGTATGCAAATAGGTAAAATTTAAAGTGACATTCTTCAAGAGAGTAATGTTAAATGATAAGTAAATGATAAAGTAAATTTTTCGCTCACGCACAAGACTACTGACTAGTTGGGTTAGCTTAGCTGAGGTGGCAGCCCTCGAAGGGGCTTACATAGAAAGTTACTGAATGTCCATTGTGTTACCACAAAAAAGAAAAAGTTTATCTTGGAACGGTACCATAGGTAATCAAGTAAAGCAAGAAAAGCACTGGGTGCTGGTTATGAACTTCCGCAAGCAGTTGATGCAAAATCTAGAGAGTTCTTCTAGAACAACCATGAAGTACGACACGAGGCAGTGCAGCTGAGAGGAGAGTGCTGAGATGATTCCACCTCATCGTCCTCCAGACCGTTGCTGCACATCGGGTCCGCAGCCATATTAAGCCGTGCCGTCTGAATTCCTATGGGGCAGTGCTCATCCCGTAAAAATAAAGAATTTCTGGATTTTCGAGACTATTTCAGAATTTTTGAGACTGCTTTGGCACGTATAGGATTTTCGAGACTACATCGAGATTTAAAAACTATTTTGGTATTTTCGGGGTTACTTTTTCATTTGGGGGACTATTTAACGATTTTCGTTAATTTATTAACTATTTCGGGATTTTCGAGACTACTTCGAGATTTTAAAGATAATCGGTATTGGCCGGATTATTTCTGGATTCTCGGGACCATTTCGAGATTTTCGAGACTACCTCGGGTTTTTAGGACTTTCGAGGCTATTTCGAGAAAACCGAGACTTTTTCAGAGTTTTCGAGACTACTTAGAGGTTTCTAGAATTTTTGAGGTTCTTGGCACTATACCGAAATTTACAATAAATATCAATAAACATATCGTTTAAATAAATCGTGAAAAATGTCGATAAATAACTTGATAAAGACATATATCGATAAAATATCGATAAACTGGTTGATAAAAATACGATAAAAACATCGATATATGTTCCGATAACAATATCGATTAATATCAATATATATATATATCAATAAAAAAAACGATAACAAGTAAGAAAGTCTAAGTTCGGGCGGAGCCGAACATTAAATACCCGGCGCAAGTATTAAATATATGTTTTCCACCTTTCCGAAAGCTACCGCTACGTAGTAAGCCGGGGTATATCAATTTTGAGCAAATTAGCGTCCTTAAATTTCGAAATATTGCTGTTTCAAGCATTTCCGAAATTTACCGTTATATGAAAAGCGGCCGTAATTTTAGTCCGATTTCAATAATTTTCAATGTTTTGCTTTTATGTGGCAAGCACAATAACCATACCGAGTTTGGTATAAATTGGTAGAACGGTTACCGAGATACATATATGTGATCATAAGTGGGCGGTGCCACGCCCATTTTTCAAAAATTTACCATAAACGTATTTCTTGGTAAAGAATTGTTGCAAGCATCAATTTTGAATAAATTAGCTTTAATATTTACTGATTTATCGAAGATTTTGTATTTCTCTAAATTACCGTTATATGAGAGGTGGGCGTGGTTCTTGTCCGATTTAAAAAATTTTCGGCCATTTGGTATGCTGTGCCAGGGCCCAACAACTGTGTCAAGTTGGGAAGAAATTGGTGCAGCGGTTACCAAGATATACACATTTTCCAAAATTTTTTAATATTCTTATTTTTCGTCTAAAAATCATTGTAAATATCAATTTTGAGTGAATTATCTTCAGTAGTTACTAAAATATCTCAGTTCTCGTATATCTGAAAATTACCGTTATATGGGAGGTAGGCGTGGTTGCAGTCCGATTTCGCTCATTTTCAATACCATCCGTGCTATGCCCAAAAGAAGTTCACGAGCCATGTTTCGTTAAGATATCTCAATTTTTACTCGAGTTATCGTGTGCACAGACGGACGGACGGACGGACGGACGGACGGACGGACGGACAGACAGTCCTCTCTTTTCATTCTGATCATTTATGTGTACATTTGTCTATATCTATCTCGATTCGTTTTGCCTGTTACAAACAACCGTTATGTGAACAATACCCTTGTGCACAAGTGCGCTCGGGTATAAAAAATATCGATAAATGAATCGATATCCATCAATTAATCAATAAAAATAACCATAAGAAATCGAAAAATAAACTGGTGTTTTAAGTTAGGTGAGGTGAAGTGAGTTGTGGTACGATAAGTTGATGTGAGTGTAAGGAAAGATGGTTTTTTTAAATTCCTCAATATGCCTAAGTATTTTCTCTCATCACGCTTTGGAATATGCACGTTATTGAGTTTAACGGCTGTGCAGGTTTTACGTTTAAGGGAGAACGTAACTCGGATAGACTTTAACTCATGTGACTTAATTCGCCAATCTTTCAGCCACTGGGTTATTTTGTTTAGGCTGTTTTGGAGCTTAAGCGATGCCAGTTGTGGAAGGATATCTAGAGCAACAACCACAGTCTCGTCTGAAAATGTGCCAACAGTTGCTCCTTCTGATGCTGGTAAATCGTTTGTATATAGCGCATATAGGGTGGGACCCATGACATTATCTTGACGTACACCAGCTGAACTTTAGTAGTGTTTAGACTGCTCTTCGACTTGCGCTTAACAAAGAAAAATCGATTTTTAAGATGGGGCTCAATCAGCATGTAATAGTTAAAGGGAAGGTTATTCTTTATTTTTCGAAGTAAGACGTCATGGCATACTCGATCGAAAGCTTCAGATATATCGAGAAATGCAGCTGTGGAAAATTTTTTTATTCGAATCCAATTTGGATGCAATTTACAAGCCTGTGCACTAGTTCCATTGTGTTTTTTTTTTTCTGAAACCGAATTAGTGAATTCTTTCGTTCTTTTATTACTGGCATCTTGATGGGTAGCAAACTGATCGGGTGATATGATTTAAGTTTGACTGCACTTTTTTCTGATTTAGGAATCATTTTTACTTGAGAAAATTTCCATTGAGGTGCAACGAGACCTTATAAATGCAAGTCAGGAGTTATTTTAGTATTTCTCCAGCAATTAAATAGCGATGATTTAACTTGAAGTTTTGACCATTTTTTTTTTATAGGAGGGTCCATTTGGTAGGATGTTCGAGAGTCTGTCTTACTTTTTGTGTAGTATGGATAGAGTGTTCAATTTGGTGTGTATTAAACGCGATTTTTAGATGACGTGCAAATGTGCTTGCTTTTTAGAGATCGCTTTTAGCTCATTAGTTGTTTTCCATTCTGACGCTGGACTCTGGCACAAGAGTTGGCCTCTTGAATTGTTTTGTTGCTTTCTAGAGGGTCGCTAACAGCCTTTGTCTAAAGGTTACTGAGATAACGATGAAGTTGGGAGTTGCGTTCTTTTTGCAAGAGATCTTTGAGTTCCCTCGTTAGCGTATTTTATCTGGTTTTGGCATTGAGGTATCTAGCCTGACGTTTTTTGGAAAGTTTTTCATTTAAAAGAGACCAGATTGTTGTATATATGCATATGTGCCCTTGAATGTTTGGATTAAAATTCATAAATATGTATTTCTTTAAACAGCTTTAATGCAACCGAATTGAATTTTTGTTGTTTTATTTCCAAAATTTTTTCCAATTTGCGGGTATATAGGCCTCCGTTTGCGAATAACCTGAATAAGTAAGTTATGCTATGTGAACTGAATAAATGCATTCCAAATTAGTGTCTTATGAAATTTATGTAAAAAGAAGCAGTAAAATACTGAAATTGAAGGCTGCTCTAATGCTGTTTAACTAAGTCAATGATTAGGTACTAAACTAACTTTACTAAAAACTCATTAAAAATTCAAAGAGCTTGTTATGAGACTTCAGTTGTTGTTTAGGTATTAGTGGCTGCCTTTGTGATTGCTTTGCAAAGATTTGTAGTGAAAAATTGCATTTTCTTTTACCTCTAATTCTTCGTCAAAGTAAACAAATCTGGTGAAAAAAAAACAGTGATGCAAATTGATTTCAGCTGCTTGGTTCACATGCCCTATTTCATTTGAAGCAAAGAGAAAATCTTTATGTTGGAAAATAGTGAAACTCTGTAAAATGTTGCGCAAAACTAATAACGCTCAAACATAAATATGTATGTCTGTGTATGTGTTTATGTAAATATGAACGATAGAGGGCAATCAAATAGGGATGCGCTGTTTTAACGATTTTTGACTATTTTTTACAAGCTTTTATTTAATTTCACTTGCAAGTATGTACAGCCTAGAGTCTTGAAACTTAAAGCTAAGCTCATTACCCGATGAAAATGCTAATGGAAAAAGGAATTAATGTGAATATAGTTTTTATTCAAAGCAAATTGCAATGATGTGAGGAGCCTTTTTTCAGATCTCAAAAAAAGCCGAAATTCGGCTATATCTTAAAAACAGCTCTATTTTTTTATATTCTGACTTCGTATCCGCAATCAGCGGAATATTTTATACGAATAGCGGATAAAAATCCAAAATAACGGTTATTCTCGGTCGAAAAATAAAACGTTTAACGGTTATTTTCGATCATTGGTTATAATTTGAGGAGTTGTGTCAAAGAGCTTTGTATTTAGATATTTATTTTGGGATTGAAGATTGATTAAAGGAGTCATTTAATACTCCATTTCATGAAAAATATAGTCACTCCGATAAAAAAACCAGTTTACGCAAGACAGCTTTTCAAAACAAACCTAAATGTCTACCAGTCTACCATTCCCAAAAAAAAGGAAATTAGGTTTCACTTCCCTTCATTTCCTTAGCTAACGGGTGTATGTAAATAGTGTGTGTGTGCCTGTGGCATTTTGTTATGCATATATAAAAAAACAAACTCTTTTGCTTAAATCATGACTTACCTTTCGTGGCATTTGATTACAATCCAGGCCATTGCGTCCTCCCGGGCATTCACAGCTAAAATCATTTCCGTGATCAATGCAGCGATGTCCATCCGGACAGGGTTTGTTGGCGCAAAAATCCACCTAAATAAATTGGAATGGACACGAAAGCATAGATGGTTAAAGGAGATACAGTATGAGCGTACATACGTATTTACACAGATAAGTATGTTTTGAATAATGCATTGGATTATGTACATACATATATATGAAAGGTATTGTATATTTATAGGACAAAATTTTGAACACCGCGGCATTCTATGATGCCTTATGAATAAATAAAGCACTAAAGGAGGGAAATAGTAATCAGAAAATTGCAAAATTTTTCGGATGTATATTATGGAGAAAAATTTTTTTTTTTTTTTGTAACTTGGTACTGAAATTGCTTTCTTACAAGCCTGAGAGAGTTATTTTGCATTTGACTTCGCATATGGTAATCGAAATGCACCAAATAATTGCAAAACTACATATACACGGCCACACACATTATAAAATGAAATGTAAGTGAAATCAATTCGACAACAAAGTCTTAAACAAAATAAAGTACATAGGTACATAAATAAGTATTTCGATAAGTGCACTGCAGGAAGATGTGGAAATTTCATTAGCGAACCCCAAATTGCTTGCGAAAGAGGGTGACAACCAGAAAAACAACAAAGTTAACTGCAAATTAAGTTATTTGTGTACCAAGGTACCATAACTACTCTCTCAAATTTACACAAAACCTTTATTTACGAACTTACTACATGCACAGTTAAAGGGAGCAAGACAAAAAAAAATGTGTAATAAATTCATTCACATACATACATACATACATTGAAAGTTGAAGCTTACCTTAATTTGACAACGCGCACCGGTATATCCTTTGGTGCAGCGACATTCGAAATTGCCAATGTGATCGATGCATTCGCCATCATTTTGACATGGATTCGATTCGCATTCATTATATTCGAAATTGCAAAGCTCACCAGCGAATCCTGCGATTCCACGGGTCGATGAATGCAATCAGCAGACATGCGGGTGTGTATGTGTGTGTGTGTGTGACGGTGTCGCAAGGATGATGGCAGCCAGCAGCATCAGTAGCAGTAGCGCGGTAGTAGTCGTGGTTGGTAACGCAAATATATGGTTGAAATGGAAGAGAAGAAAATGAGGAAAAAATTTAGTGAAAGAAAATAGATATTCAGTATTGGCATCAGTAAAGAAACGAAACCTAATGGAAATGTTTTTAATGAGATTTATGCAGATGATATGTCACAAATGATTTATGAACTGGAAAATGTGTGTCAAAAATATAAAGGCGGTGCGGAAAATTACTTAAAATTGCATGACTTCTTATGCAGTATTCGAAATTTCTGTGACATAAAGAATTTATTACTTAGTTATAATTGTTAAGGTTTGCAGCAAGAAAAGTACGAAACTAGACTTGTTACGTACTAGAAATGCCAGTTACTGTCCAAATTTACCACGCCGTTTAACTTACAAGGTAAAAAATTACTTACCGCAAAATCTTCTGCTTTGAAAAAAACAAACGTGACAACAATTTTTATATCTTTGGATATCGTTAGAGGACTTTGGCAGGACTTGGAATTGACCCGATAAATTCCATTTTTTCGATAAATTTCGATAATGTTTTAGATACACATCGATAATTCGATGAATTTAAAAAATGCTAAAATCCGATAACTCAACAAAATTCGATAGTTCGACCAATTTCGATAAATTCCGATAACTGCGCGTTTCGAGGGCTCGATAAGTCGACAACTCCATAAACTTTGTATGCCTCTATAAATGCCCATAACTTGGTTAATTTTGATAGCTACATATTTTTCGAAAGTTATCGAAAAATTTCTATAACTCGTTACACTCTGGTAACACGATAAAATTCGATATATTACCTTGATTATATTATATAACATTGGAAACTTCGATAATTCGATATATTTTGAAAATTTCCAAAAAATTTGATTTGATAAATCGGCAAATTTCAGTAAATAAATAAATATCGATGACCCGATAAGTTGAGGGAACTCGATGTCATACGATAGCCCGATAAATTTGGCTAACTATTACTAATGATAACTGAATAAATATCGATAACATGATAAATTTCATTATTTTTATAGCTCGACAATTAGCCATAAATTACGACAACTAAGTTTCTATGTCTATAAATTTCAACAACTCATTGAATAATTCGATACTATACTATACTAAAACTATAACCTTTGATGAGGCGATAAATGTCGGTAATTAAAAAATTACGATAAATAATTGTTTTATGACTGAATTTATTTCAATTCCCATCGAAAAATTTCAATAAACTTGGTAACTTTTCAGTTGTCTTGATTCTTATGTATTTCTCATTGCTCTCATTTTCGTCTTTATTTTTAACTTTTCCTTCACTTTCTTGTCCTAACCGTTTGTCTAATTTCTTCTTTATCATTACATTTATTTTTATTACAAAATTTAATTTTAAACACGAAGTAAAACCAAATGCGAAATGTGTCTCAATTCAAAACTAATTTTGTATAGTACAATAAATTTTTGAACCGTAACTACATAGCACCTTAATATGACTGATATAAAAAAACGTCAATATTTGTATAATCATTGTGGTTATATAAAATGTGATATAAAGAAGTAAATAAAACAAAAATATGTTAGCACTTGGAATTCCCTCTAATATTTAGTATAAGATATACGTTCGGTCATTCTGAATTTTTCTTTGCCAAATATGCCTTAAATTTGGGTAAATACTCAACTTTCCAATAGCCGAAAAAGAAAATTCTAACCACACATTTAAAGTGGATATTCCCATCACAAGATGATAAAAATTACATTCGCTATTTGGCGTTATAAGGGAATTTCATTAGCGCAAGTTATTTTGGTGATATGCTGCAATTTATGCGCATAGAAATTTTCGGGTCAATTCCAAAGAAGCATTTTTTTGATGTGGGTTCAGCGCTCAGGGCAGACGCATAAATACAAATTGAAAGTGGCGCCAGTAAAAGCGTAGTAGTAAGTAGCCATTTGGTTGACAGTTGTTAGATGGTTTTGAATTTTTTTTTTGTTTTTTCCAACTTCAAATGTTGTTTACATTTTGTTTTGATACTTTAGCTGGCGCTGACTGGGGAGACTGGGATTGTCGGTACGCATTTGCATTTTCATTCATTTCTTTGTTTGTCTTGCGCTCCTAAGGGAGAGACATTTGCATAGAAGGTTTTCTTTCTTTGCTATTTGTGGGGATTTACGTACGCACACCTTTTTTTTCTATTTAGCTACACACATACTTATAAATAAAAAAAATAAAAAAAACACTTTTTACTTCTTCTTCTTCTTCTTCTTCATTTCCATTGTGATGCCACTTGTTTATTTCCAAATGTCGCCATCACTTTGGTTATTGTGTTTTTGAACTCCGCAGTGTCGAACCGAATATTGATTTGCGTCACATTTTACTGTATTCTAATTGAATTTTTCATTTCGCCTTCGTACAACGATTGTCACTTAAAGTGCTCGTTCGTTCATTCGGTATTCACCATTTACCAACTAAATTTCGTTTGTCATACGAAACAGTTCGTGAATTTAATTTGTTTACTTTTTTCGCGTGCGAAACGCTTGAATGTCAAATAAAATGAATGTGATGCTTTGTCGTTTGTTATCAATTTATGTATGTTGAATGGAGTGCATGTTTGTTTGTATGTATAAATAGGATTGACTATTTTTCATCCGGCTTTTAAAAACAAAAGTGTAGTATTTACCTAAAAGAACATTTATTTTCGAATAAATCGATACCTCACTTAATGAAATTGAATTAAAATTGTCGAAGTTTATTTGTGATTTTTTGAGCTGTCTGTCTAAGGAGTTCATCAATATTTACTAAAAATTTTTATATGTAAACTTTAAGAAAATGGGCGTGACACCTCCCACTTCTATCATATTTGCGTATCTCAAATACTGCTTGACCGATCTCAAACAAATTTGATACACACACCGTGTTGAATATTTCGGAAATCGTACAAAACCCACGTTCGTGGAGCACACATCGGGAAAAATCAAACAACTCAAACCTAGCTATATTTCAGGGAGAGTAAGTTTTGTCCGATTTCAAAAATATGCGACACCGTGTTTAAGGAGGCTAACCACAATGTGTGTATCAAATTTGGTCGAGATCGGTGAAGTAGTTTTTGAGGTACGCAACTATGATAGAAGTGGGAGGTAAAAAAAAAAATTGATTTTAATTTACTTGTTTTAGATAGATTTTTTTTATTTTTTCCTTTGTAAACTTTATTTTCTTTTAGTTCTACGATTTTACTGTTTTAAAAAGAAAAAAATATACATATATATTTTTTAAATAAGTTAATTTTTGGCAACTTATTTTATGTCTTTTTGCTTTTTCCTTTTTTTGCAATTTAATTATCTTTTAATTATATTTTATTCTTTTTAAGAAAATATTTCCTTTTTTGATTCAAATTAATTTTTAGGTAGTTATTATGGTTTATACTTTTTATAATTTGATTTTATTGATCGATTTTATTTAAATTTTTAGATTTAATTGTTTTAAAAAGAAAAATATTTTTTAAAATATTATTTAATTTTATAAACTTATTTTATTTTTTTGTCTTAATTAATTTTATCCTTTATTAAATTTAATTTTCTATTAATTTTGAGTTTTTATTGTTTTAAAATGAAAAATATTGCTTTTTAATAATTCAATGTTCCTTTTTGTCTTTCCTGAATTTAGTTTTCTTATCACTTTTTTATTTTACTATTTTGAAAAACGTATGTATGTATATATATTTTTAATTAAATTAAATGTTTAGAAGTTTATTTTATTTCATCTTTACTTTTATTTTATTTTAACTTTTTGCTTTTATTTTTTGTTTAATGTATATTTCGAAAATCATAAAATTTTTCGGAAACTTATTTTATGTATATTTTATTTAATGTTTGCTTATTCATTTAATTTTTAGATCTCATAATTTAAAATTTTTTTAATTTCTATTCATTTTTTTTAATTCTTGGAAAATTAATATTTTTTTAAATTTAGTTTAGTTTTTAATTTTGTGTATAGTTTTTTTTCAATTGAGTTTCCTTTAATTTTAATTTTAATGTAATTTAAAATATAAAATTTATATATTTTTAATTTCAATTCTTAGTTTTTATTAAGAAAAATTAATTTTTTAACTTCATGTAGTTCATGGAAACTTGTTTTATTTTTCTAACTGTAATGTTATTATTTTTTTTTCTTAAATAGTTTCTTTAATTCTTAGATTTTATTGGTGTAAAAGGAAAAACCTGTTTTTAATGTAATTTGCAATTTTTAAATTAGTTGTTTTAAATTTAATTCGTTTTAATTCTTAGTTGTTGTGGTTTTTAAAATAAAAATATTTTTTAAATTCATTTTATTTATAGAAACTGCAATAAATATACATTCGGCTGCGCCTGGTGGCCAGTCTACCCGGCCTTGAGCTCAAAAAAATCTACAGAATCTTCAATTAACGGTCAAATATAAATAAACAATTAAACTTATTATATTAGGTTTTTCTTCATGTTATTGTTTTTCTCTTCTTAATTAAATATTAGTTTAAATTTTGGATTTTGTTAGAAAAAATATTTATACATTTTTACATTTTATTTAACTTTAAGAAACTTTTTTTTTTATTTATTGTTTCTTTTTTAACTTAGCTTTTCTTTTTCTAATTTATTTTCTTTTAATTTTAGTTGTTGTTTCAAAGAGCAAATTATGTGTATATATTTTTATTGTCAAGAGAAACAAAAGATATGCGAACAAGCACTTCGTATTAGATTGGTATCGTTTTAAATTCCTTTTGCTTTAAGTTTGAAATTTTTTTTTCTGTCTAAAATGCACCTTATTTTACCATTATGTTTGTACATATGTATATACAAACGTACATAAATATGGTTTGCTGCATTCATGCGTACGTAGACTAGTTTACCATTTAACTGCGAAAAAAGTCGCTCTTATTGCAGCGATGCAACCAAAACAAAACCCAAACCGAAAACAAAGCCGAATAAAGTAACCGTGGAAAAGCAATGAAATTTCGCAAACAATATTGTATACTCACCCGGCTGACAGAAACAACGGAAACCATCCTCTTGATCCACACAAATGCCGTGTACACATGGTGATGATTCGCATTCGTTGAGGCTGTGTTGGCACAGTGGGCCGGTATAGCCTGGAGTGCAGTCACATCTGGTTAAGCACACACAAATAGTGAAAATCAAAATAAACAGAACATAAAAGATACGTGAGTACATATGCGTGTATGTATGTATGTATCAACTTAAATGCATTTCTATGCGGGTGCGGTTAGTTAGTTGGTGGCGGTGGCGGTGGCGATGGCGAGGGTGGTGATGATGGTGGTCGCGTGGTGGGGGTGAGTGAAATGCTAGCGGCGCTATTTGAGGCTTATTTACATGGACGCACATATGTATGTACTTATGTGCGCGTGTGTCTATGTAAATATATATATATTTGCTTGGAAATCCAACTAAAAGTTAACAAATATGTGCTCTAACTATTTTATTTGAAATACTTTTGTTTGCAGGTTTGTATATTTGCCTATAAAAGCTTATTTATAAAGTGCGGCTATATATACATACATAGATATGTATACGTGCATTAGGGTGGTTCAAAAAAAATGCATGAGAAAAAGTGAAGTCGGAATTTTCACGCTCTAACCCCCTAGGATTGTTCGATACAGAAAAAATATACCCTTCTTTTTTATTTTGAAATCAAAAGCGCTCAAAGTTTTCCATGTATTTTATATGGGAAAACTCTTAAAACTCAATATTTTTCGATCGGAAAACTCTGCTTTTCTGCAGGAGATTCTCTACAATACTCGATTCTTTATTTAACCATTTTTTTCATAGTAACTAAAACTTATAGGTCCGCCAAAAACCCCCAAAAAAACCCCAAAAAAAACCAAAATATGCAATGCGGGCACCAATCAAAAATCGTTAGTATTAAAAAATGGTTAAATACACAATTGGGTATTATTATTGGAAGTCTCCTGAAGAGAACCATAGCTTTCCGATCGAAAAATATTGATTGTCAAGAATTCCATACCATTTTTACGTTCAAGTGGTTTTTCCCCATTAAAATTTCGACTTTACCGTTTTTGGACCATCCTAATGCACATTTGTACGTGCAAATGTTTGAATGCTTTTGCGTACTCACACAAATATAAATTCATTCGCTTCTCTTATTGCACAATTAAATGCGCCACATAGGCAAACTCATAGTCGTTGTTTTTGTCGCCTGTGGCTTTAATTGTTTTACCTGTTGTAGCTTTAATTGTCGTTTTTGTCATTGTGTGTATACGTATGTTGTGGTGGTTGTGTTGTGCATTTGCGGTAGAAAATTCGCTTTCATTCTCCCACCAAACACCTCACACCCCCTCGCAAAGCGAATACACGCGCGTCTATTGAATTTAAGCGAGTGAATAAATGCCTTTTTTCTGCGTTAACTTATTTGATTGTGTAAATTTTTTTCTTATTTCGTATGATGAAACAATGTTTATAAGTATGTATGTAGTTTATAGTTTAAGTTTTGATGTAGATATGTACATGCATACATATTTATCAGCTACCAGAAAAAGAAACAAATTTAAACGTCTACTTCAATGCATTTTTGTACGTATGTAGGTACGAGTATTGCCTGTGTGCATTTTCATTTGACAATATCATCAAAAATCACAATCAATTTCAGCAATAAATACGTAATCGATTGTGACAAGCACCCTTCAGCGCAACGCTCACCGCTGAAAATTGTCATGAGTGAACTTACCTGAAATGTGTTGAATTGCCAACGCAGCTGCCGCCATTCAAACATTCAGCCGAATTGCATGGATCGGATTCGTATTGACAGTTTTTGCCTGTGTAGCCTGAAATGGCAATGATTGTTGGCATTACTTAGTATGACAGATATATGTATGGGTGGAATATTTACAAAAATACGCGCATTTTGATTATCTATCAACCACAATAGAATTTTGTGTCAATGGAATTTGAATAAATAATTCAGTAGATTTAACCATAATTACACTTTGAATGATTTTGTTAAGATACGATGAATTCGAGTTTTAATTTGGACAAAATTAAAATAATGTGAACATTCTTAGCACGTTTCCCTAACTCCCGCGAACAAAAGTATTTAGAGACGTTGTCTTTACCAAATACTGGCTACAAAACGACTTAGTACTTATGACCTGATTATATCCTAACTAAATATTTCCTCAGTGTAAAAATATGAAAAAATTCGGAATTCTCGAGACAATTTCAGAATTTTCGAGACAGCTTTGCGATATCAAGCATTTTCGAGACTATATCGAGATTTTGGAGAGTATTTTGTTATTTAAGGGACTATTTCAGGAGTTTCGAGATTCTAGGGCCTCTTTCTGAATTTCCGGGATTTTTTCGAGACTACTTCCAGGTTTCTAGAAGTTTAAGGAGTATCGGGACCATTACGAGATTTTCGAAATCGATGACAAAATCGATAAAAAATATAGCTAACAAAATCGATAAAAAAATCCATATCAAAATCGATAACAATATCGACAATAAAATCGATAAAAATATCGATATCAAAATGAATGATAAAATCGATTAAAATATCGACATCAAAATCAATAATAAAATCGATTAAAATATCGATAACCAAATCGATAAGAATATCGATAAACAAATCGATAAAAATATCGATAACCAAATCGATAAAAAATATCGATAACAAAGTCGGTTAAAAATATCGATAACAAGTCGATAAAAAAACCGGTAGCAAACTCGATAAAAATAACGATATGAAAATCAAAAACAAAATCGAAATCAATAAAAATATCGATACCCAAATCAATAAATCTATCGATAAAAATATCGATTATATATTATATTATATCGGTAAGTCCCGAGACTGCCCAAAATTCCGAAATAGTTCCAAGCTTGAGTCTGTGTCTCTATCTACTTATATCCTCTTCTTTATAATTACCTTTATTTTAATCTTTCTTCCTCTATCTGTATCTTTACTTTTTCGGTATCCTCAGCCTCGTCTTTTTCTTAATAGTTTTCTTTGAAACAGTTAAACAAAAGACTTTACAAAAGCTTCAATTTCGTTTCCAATATGCGAACGGATATCCGGATAACTGATTACACAAAAGTTTAATTGCGTTCCCTACTTGGGACAACCTCCTCAAACTAACTTAACCCACAAATCTTAGCAAGCGTTTCAATAGTCAAATTGTATAATACCAAAATGTCTTTCTTTTATATTCTTTCTTATCAAATACTGCGCATATAATTCTAGTAAAATTACGGCCACTTATATTTTTTTGATTCTTGTTCACTAAAAAATGATAATACGAGTATGCAGAGATAATTTTTGTCAAAAGAAGTTCACTATTAATTTATGCACTCTTAATTGAATAAAAAACTACTTATGTATTTTAGCAAGCAAAAAATATTGCATTATTAACTTTTGAGGAATGCTCAAAGGTAATTATAAATTAAAATTCTATTATCCCATCATTTTTTTTTTGTTTTACGAATTTGCAAATATATATTTAAGTGCACTTTGAAACTGAAACTCAACGGCTTATTTCGCTTTGAGCTTATTAACTTAACAATCCTTTTGTGTATTGTACGAACTAGCTTTTATACATACAGACATTAACTGCAATTACCAGTAATGCCATAACAATAACTTATTAAAAAAAACTAGATACTAAAATAAATTTAATAGGATTATATTCGCTCTTAGGTATTGTGCGAAATTCTTTGATGCTTTTAATTTTTGTTGTTGTGGTTTCATTTCAATTCAGCGACACAAATATGTAGTTCCGGCGAAAGTGCACATTAGGGTGTACCAGAAATTGGAATTGAACTTTTGGTTAGGATGTTCTGATGAGATTAACTACAACAACGTACGACAATAAGTAATTCGCACGCAGAAATCATAATGTGTGCGATCCTACAGCTCAGCTCAATCAAATTGTGTTGTTTGACGGGTAGATTGTGTTGAAGCTTCGTCATAGGCAGATATACATACGGTGACCATAAATATGGATTCAAAATGAAGGACAATTTTTCAAAAATATGCCTACATATATTTACGTAGTATAAAAATATCAAAAGACTATTTATGATTCAAAATTCTTAATACATTTTAAGCTTTAAAAATTAATCACGTTTTTCTCCATCGATATTAATCTTTTTTACATGAATATTTATAAAAGTATAGTAAAACATATTATAATAGCAAAAGCACGAAAAGTGAAAATCTTTAAAGGATTATTTTATAGGCAAATTTTGAGTCGTTCAAAACGAAAACAATACCCTTTTTTTGTTGCTTGGTACTTTTCGCAGTTATTTATCAAAAATCGACGTCATGAATCGACGTAAACGACGAGTTACAAAGGCTGCATAGCATCTATATTTCTAATCCGATTTTCATTATCTTTGGCTCAAAATTTACTGTAATGATATATCTCCTTTATCGAATTTTTAAACTAATGAAAAAAGTTATCGAATAAAACTGTGTATTTGATTGAAAATCTCACTTTTTTCGACTTTGACGACAAACTGCAAATGGTCGTCTGTAGCACTAATAATTTTCATTGAAGTCGCCACAAGTTATATATTTTGTCAAAATCCTTCGATATGTTAGTCGCTTACGTTGATTGGGAGATTTTTTCATGAGATATTGAAGAAAAGCTACGAAAAGTACCAAAAAACACTTTTTTGAAAAAAACCATCCATTGTCCGATAATTTTAAAATAACGATGAAAATGCGGGACAAATGCAGGACACCTGGAAAAAATCAGTACATTTTCAGGTTTTTCAGGTTTGAAAAACTACGCAGGACCGACCTTTGAAAAACAGTACGGTCCTGCAAAAAACAGAACGGATGGTCACCGTAGATATACTGCACTTACAAGTGCGAAGTTCATTTTACTACTACTAGTTAGACGCGGGACACTTCGGCGGGTTAAGGATTGTGTAGCGATTCTAGAAAAAAATTTTATTTCCCCTATTTTTGATATTTTGAATTCTTGAATTGGCTGAAAAAAAAGATGTTGAACCACCCTAATATGCATAGTAAATGCGTATGTGCGTACGAATGGCTTTAAATGTGACTGTTTATGTACGCACATCTATTTTATTTATATGTACATACTTATATGGCTTCAATTTTATCTTTTACTATAAATATTTAATCAGGCATTGTTTTTTAATGTTTTTTTTTCTTTGCAACATAATCTTGATTCATACAAGCTTTAAGTTAAAGCGGTTACACATAAGTGTTATCAACTAATAAAATGTTATATTATATCATATGTAGCCCGCCAAGTACATGAGAACTCGTCTAGAGTCATTGTATAATTGTATTATTAAATGAAAACTATTGTTTATTTTAGTATATAAGATCATCAACATTGAAATAAATAAACAAAAAAAAAANCGGTATTATGGCAACCCACATTTATTGCCACAAGCGCAAAAATCGCTTTACCGCACATAAGCGCTAGTTATTCAATTCTTTGTGAGCCATTTCACCTGCAACACTATTGCTTGTAGGTACATACAAACATATATACATACATACATACATACATGCATAAATAGTTACACATAAAAATAAACTCGAGCTAGTGAATCCTTTGAAATACAACAAACTGTTGGAACGAGGAAAAGAAGTTATAAAATTTAATTAAAAAAAAAAAAAAAAAAATCATTAGTACTTGCTTCGCCCCATCAGCTGCTCTCCTCGCTTTCGCAATACGTTTCCATCTTGCACTTCCTCTTTCGATTCAAACACAAAAGCTTCTTTTTTAGCAGTTTCTACATTGTTTGCGCAGATTTTCTTCTTCTGTCTCGCTTTTTTTTTATTAATAGCTATATGTGTGTACATTAGGGTGGTCCAAGAGAAGTAAAGCGGGATTTTTTATACCGAAAAAAATTATATCCTGTTTTTTGATTTTGAAATCAAAAATAATTTATAGTTCGCTCAAAGTTTCCCATATACTTTATAAGAAAAAAAATTTTTTCGTAGAAATATTTTTCGGACGGAAAACCTTATTTATCTTCGGGAGGTTTTTCATAATAATACCAAATTATTTTTTTTAACAAATTTTTAATATTAACTATTCTATATAGGTAGGTCCTCTAAAAACCCCCAAAAGTGCAATGGGGGACCCAACAAAATGGCTAGTATTAAAAAATGGTCCTATTACTAGAACTCTTCTGAAGAGAATAAAAGTTTTCCGGCGGAAAAATAGTGATTTTCAAGAATATAAAATGCATGGAAAACTTTGAGCGCTTTGAGTGACCTCTAATATTTTTTTTACTTCAAAATAAAATAAAACAGGGGTATAATTTTTTCCGCTATACAACAATCGTAGGACATCGTGTGAGCATTAAAATACCGCCTATACTTTTTCACTTTTTTCATATTTGGACCACCCTAGTGTGCATATACTTTTACTGTAGATCGCAGGTGCACTTTGCTCTCGCAACGAATTTCCAAGCGGTCAATTGTGCTTGTAAGGTACTTTGTAGTGTTTTACGTTTCTTTTTTTCTTCTTCTTGCAGCAGCAAGCTTGCTTCCATTTAATTTCATAATTTTTCGTCTGCTATAAAATCTTTTTCACAGCTAGTATCCTATATGTACAAACAAACAGCCTTCAATTTGTTATATCCCCTTTTTGGCTAAGCGCTTCATGGTTTCGTTCGCTTCGTCAGTTGGCTGAGCGTCCGTCCTT